GTAGCGTTAGCAGTTATCGGCCATGGAAAGTGGACTCTGTGTACCTAGCTCAGAATTTGGTTATTTACTATGCCCCATTTACACGTGCCATTTTTTTTTAAAATGCCAAACTGTAGAAATATCTAAAACGGGCGCGAAGGAAGAAAAGGTTAAGAACGCCTGGTTTATAGGATTGAGCTAATAATATTCTTTTAAAATTCGAGTTCACCCCCATGCAAGGCAGTAAAGCCACTAAGACACTAAGATATTGGGTATGGAAGAATTAGAAACAGAAACATTACTAAGGAGTGAAAACAAAAAGAATAATCAGGACAGTAATCATTGACACTGCATTTAAATTTTTGAAAATTTAAGTTAGCTGGAAAGCATGGAGCCGGAAAGGAGTTCCACAAGCGAGAAGTACGTGAAAAGAAACTGTTAGCATATAATTTACGGCTACATCTAGCCAGCTGAACTTAATGAGATCTCAACGTCAGTCTAGTACTGCACTTAAATTAAAAAAAGTTTAGGTACCATCAACCTAGAACAGTCCCCGATCTTAGCAAAGTTATTCAACGGCTACTTGAAGGAGAAATCTTTCCCAAGCCTGTGGAAGGAAGCAAGCGTATGTCCGGTCTTCAAGAACGCTGGTGACCGATCCTCCCTTTCTCAGTATAGACCCATTGGTTTCCTCAGTATCATCCATCTATCTATCTATCTATCTATCTATCTATCTATCTATCTATCTATCTATCTATCTATCTATCTATCTATTATCTATCTCATGCGGTTCGTATCTATTTAATTCTGTTCGTATCTATCTATCTATCTATCTATCTATCTATCTATCTCATTCGGTTCGTATCTATCTATCTATCTATCTATCTATCTATCTAATTCTGTTCGTAACTATCTAAATCTGTTCGTATCTATCTATCTATCTATCTAGCTAGCTAGCTATCTATCACATTTCTTTTGTATCTCTCTCTCTCTCTCTCTCTCTCTATCTATCTATCTATCTATCTCATTCGTTCGTATCTATCTTATTCGCTTCGCATCTATCTATCTATCTATCTATCTATCTCTCTCTCTCTCTATATATATATATATATATATATATATATATGTTCATTATCTATCTATTTATTTATCTCATAAACCTTGAACTTGGAACCTTAAATCTAATTTTCTTATTGATTGTCTGCTGCTTTCACGCTTGATTTCCTTCGCTACTGCTTCTCTTTTCTTACTGGTGTTACTCCTGAAGCCTTGATCTTGTTTCTCTTTCTTTCTGAAGAAGACCGGAGAGCGCAACAGCCGAAACGTTGAGATACAAAGAACAACAAAGATCAGAACATTAGTCCGAATGTAAATAACATAAATCACGATCGCGCTTCATTCCAGGAATTCACACAGAAACTCTAGATTTGATATGCGGAAATTTTTTAGAGTAGTTACTTAATCTGGCTAGCCACATACAACGTAGGCTGATAAATATCTTAAATCTTATGCTCGAACTGTAGAAATACATACACGGACTTCAGTAGTTGTGATTGGAAGTTTTCCGTTCATTCGGCCATAGAAGGGAGAGAGAGAGAATAAACGATAATTTGAATAAGGGATTCATTCAAACAAAGAAACTATTTCATCTGACGACCTTTTACCGAACCTAAACGTCACTACGGGTGATAAGTGGTCATTTTATGTACGTCTTATTGTCAAAGCCACATAATCCACTTAAGTCACATAGCTAAATTACGTATATTGTCTTCTTTCGACCTCGTGTGTTAACGACGTGTATTTTTTTCATAATAACACAACCATCTGTCAATCCACGTTGCTCTTTTTATATACTGAAGAAAATTCTAATAATTGTATCTATATATATTTTGAAATATTTTACACATTTCAATAGTATTTACATTTGATAATGATTATTTTAATAATATGATCAAAAATAAAATTAAAACAATTCACCATATGCAATAGAACAGGGAATTATTAGCTGCAGTAGATAAATTCCCAGCGGATCGTCTAGGCGTGTTCTATTTTCATCGGGAACTCTACACCTTATCTAAAACATGTAATTAAAAATTGAATGCTTTCTGACACAATACATTAGCGTCAATCGGAGCCGTTTTTCTGTTCATGTCTTCCGCCCAAACATTTAGGTGAAAGGAAAAACTCAAATTAAAAAGAAATCATCTAATGAATCTGATTTGATGTCTTTCAGGACGACATTTAAATTGATTAATGTTTTCCTTTCATATTTTCAAAATGTTTTATTATTAAAGTTTCGTCTTCTATATCTCTATTATAGTCATTTAATTTTACAACATTGACATATATTCTGCGAAGTAGTTTTAGTTTAATAAATTTCTGAATACGAAAATTTTTTCGATTGGCCCAGCCGCGGGTAAGTGAAATGGCCGTTTTTCATACTGCGGATGGTGAGGTGCTAATGTACTTAAATTGACCTTCACTTCAAATGTCTATGCTTGCTTTGTCCATGTGATATCTTTGCAGCAAATTCTTCCACTAACTTCATACGCCACCGTAAAGTACTTTTTACCATTTTTATCATCTAAATTGCCTAAAATGCACCAACTGCATCTCTTACAGAAGGACAAGACCCTATCACAAGAAAAGAGGCTATCACCCAGTTAGTATAAATCTGGCCAAAATAAACCAAATATAGAGAATAAAGTTCATCTATAGACATAAGTATAAAACCGACAAATGTTTATTCAACTATAAGAAGAAAAAGTTTCTATAAATGTTTATTTTTCATTAAATGAGGTCATTTAACTTTTCCAAAATCTTGGATAGTTTATCGTCTATATAAATATCGTATGTATGAATATCGTATACATCATAAAATATATCAGAAAACTTATCATATATATGACAACATATATGGTGTTATTATATAGGTCCGACAAAACAACACTAGCAACTGCTCTCGAAAATGACTTACAATATGTCGTTAGCTGGGGCAAGAAACGGTTTGTTAATTTTAATGCCCCCAAAATGAAATTACTTTCTTTTAATTGTTTTAGAGAACCGTTTTTGCCTTTCATGGGCATGGCTGATGCTAACCTCCAGGAAATTGATTTCTTTCACCCTCTCGGATTAACTTTTTCTACTGACATGAAGTGGAAAGGTTATATTGAATCAACTGCGAGGTCTGCTGCTACGGAAATTTGATTCAATGTATTGTGCTGCACACTATTTCACACTAGAATATTACGCATTCTTCCATGTATTTCTGCAATATCTGGTCTGGTGCTCCTGCTGTATATTTAGAGATCCTCAATAAAATCGAAAAACGAATCTGCAATGTCATTGATCTTGACCTGGCATTTCGGCTTCAGTCACTTTCCCACCGCCTTTATGTAGCTTCATCTGAGCCTTTAGTGTAATATTTTCATGGTAAATGTTTTGATGAACTAACCTCTATGGTCCCTAGACTTTATGGATTTAAGCATACTACTAGATTAGGTAAAATGAGCTAAGATTTTAAGGAAACACTATGCAGCAATGGGTTAATTTCATTATTATTATTATTACTAAACTCTTTTGGCATAAAGTGTGCTAGTAAATTAATTTTGATAAAACTTTTAGGCGATTCTTCGAAATCCAGAGGATGGTTCTAAACGTTAGGATTTTAGGTTCACACACACACACACACACACACACACACGCACACACGCATACACGCACACACACATATATATATATATATATATATATATATATATATATATTATAGGTCTAGGATTGTTCTGGGAAACTTGAAAATTCTTTCTAATAAAATGTCTTCTTAGGATAAAAAATTTCTGCTACACGATTTTTTTTTATTATAGAACTTGATTACAACCAACTGACGTCAAATTTAACTAAATCTTAATCAACTGACTGCAAATTTGACTAAGTCCTAAGCAACTTACGTCAAATCTGACTACATATAAAGCCACTGATCCCAAATTTGACTATATCAAAAGCAACAGAACACAAATTTGGCTACATCTTAAGCAACTGACCACAAATGTGCCTACATCTTAAGCAACTGGCATCGAATTTGATTACATCTTAACCAAATCAATTCAAATTTGACTACTCTCAAGTGATCTCAAATTTGATTCCATCTTAACCAACTGAATTAAAATTTGACTAAATCTTAACCAACCTGACCTCAGATTTGACTACATGTTAAACAACTAACCTTAGAATTCACTACATCTTAACCAATTGACCTCAAATTTGGCTACATCTGAACAACTGTACTCAAATTTGACTACATCTTAATCAAGTAACCTCAAATTTGACAACATCTTAAAAAAATCCACTGCTAACCTGTCTGTCTTAAGCGACTCAAAATAAGGTAAGAAAAACGTAAAATTAAACAAAAAAATACTGAATTCAATAATTCTATCATTTCTAATAGACACTGAAATATTTTGTTTTTCTATTTATTAGACCCAGGTAAAACAATTTAAGCGACTTGACTACTAATTCTTACTCTAAAAATAAAGCAACATGAATAGTGGTCAAAATTCTAAGTTACTTATTAAAAATCGTTCAAACATAAAATAACATTTAGACAGAGAAAATAAATTAAAAAAAGTAAACACGGGAAAATGTCATTTCGTTTTGAAATAAATTTCCTCATTTCTTTGAATCAGACGAAATGAAAATAATTTTTGATAGAAACAGAACGGACTTAAATATAAATCAATGATAGATAGATAGATAGATAGATAGATAGATAGATATATAGATAGATAGATATAAATTAATTATATATATATATAAGTGGTCTGTTTTTCATTAAATATTAGCTCTGTATTCACATTGAGCTCTCAGGATTTCATCCTCCTTGGAATTACCCATTCGGTAACTTAAATATATATATATATATATATATATATATATAGATAGATAGATAGATAGATAGAGAGAGAGAGAGAGAGAGAGAGAGAGAGAGAGAAATCAATTATAGCTAGATAGATAGATATAAATCATAGATAGATAGATAGATAGATAGATAGATAGATAGATAGATATAAATCAATTATAGATAGAAAGATTGACACAGATAGAGACGGGGAGAGAGAGAGAAGTAAAAGACATCTGTTTTTATTCTTTCCTCCGCTTTTTTACTTTTCAACTAATCGACATTTGTCTCCCGTTTATCTTTCAATCCTTTATTCTGAGTGACTTCTACTTCCATAGATTGTGTCCCTTCAGGACGTAGACGATCAAGGCTCTCTACAATTTCCTGTCCTTTTACTAATGGTAAACCTTGTCTTTTTACTATCTGTCATAACCTTTGTTCTGCCAATCCTTTATACAAGCTCGTTAGGTAAGTTATTCGCCATTTTCCTCTGTACTTCAATATGTCCTGTGAGTTTCAAATTTTCCAAGCCCTCTTTCCTTATTATATGCCATGGAAATTTCACTTGCCTCTTTTTGATTCTAAGTATAAGTGTCCCTTTTGATTTTATGTTTCTTAAAACTTCGTCATTACTCACATTTTTAGTTCATGGTATTTCCAATCTTCTTCTGTACAACATATTTCTGTTGCCTCAATTCACTTCTTCATTTGTAAGGATATTGTCCAACATTCACTGCCATATAGAAGGACTGATATTACGTAACAGTTCAGTACTCTTTTCTTTGTTTCTAACGGAATTTTTCTGTTTCTTAATACTTTGCTTAGCTTTTGGAAGGAATCTTTCGCTATTCCAACAGTCCAGTACTCTAAACATTTTAAAAAGAAAAAATGTAAAATGAAACAAAAAGAGTTACTAAATACGTTTATACTGTGTTCATGAATCCTACCAATTCTAGTTTCTTACTTACACTAAAATGTCTTGTTAAGAAAGGTGATATGCTGTATGAATATGAACGTAAATTTACTGTGGAAAACTCAGAAATTAGTGCACTTTCTATATATCTCTGATCTACAGATGCCTTATTACTCGGATAAGCGCCGTCCCTCGAATAAGCTCTTCCATCAAGAAGTCTATATGAAAATAAGTAAATAGCTTCATTGTTTATGCACAGAATTTAAAATTTTATCACAAAACTGACATCCAAGGAAGACCGGAGATTTCAGCTGCTGAAGCGACGTGATAAAAAAAAAGCTAAATCGAAGGAAATGAAATAAAATACAAAGTTTTTATGTATACTTTAAACATTTGAATTGTGAAAGATGCCTTCCAAAAAGCAAAGCAAAGTATCAAGAAACAGGAAAATTCTGTTAGAAACAAAGAAAAGAGTGTTGAACTGTTATACAATATCGATCCTCCTATATGACGGAGAATGCTGAACAATTTCATCCTAGATGCAGAGAAGATAGAGATAGGGTTCTATCCTTCTGGGTGCTGAGTATACAACGGATGAAATATATGAATAACGAAGACGTTTTAAGAAAAACAGGAACAGAAATAACACTTGTACTTAAAATCAGAAATTTCTGGGACGCATAATGAGGAAAGAGTGTTTGGAAAGTTTAACATACGCAGGACATACTGAAGGTAAGAAGGAAACGGCTGGTAGCCTACTTAACAAATGAATAGAAGAGCAGCGAGTTGGGTATAGTAAAAAGACAAACATTGCAAAGAGCTGAAACTTATAAGAAATTATGGAGCGCTGTAATCCTCCACGTTCTAAAGGGACACGACACATAGAGGAAGACGACCGCTAATCCGTTGGTGCTTTGATAAAATCAATTATTAGTCAATTAAACGCCTGAATACATAAATGCTTTCCGATCCTGTCTCTATTTTCCGCCCTTCATCCTTCAGCTAATATGCAGGGAGCAGCGTGTTAGACTTGAAATAGACAATCAAGACGCCAGTATGGTAATTATTTTTCCCGATAGTCGAACTGCGTCGGGATGACTATCTTAAATGGAAATGCACCACCCTGAAAATGACAGTCTTTCATTACCTATTGCAAATAAAGCGTTACACGACCTTGTGTGAACACTAGACAATTCAGCATGACCTCGATAGGAGTACGAAAGCATGATTACTACTTCTACAAAAAAGAAATATATGACTGTTAAAGAAGGAAGGAAGGAAAGAAAGAAAGAAAGAAAGAAAGAAAGAAAGAAAGAAAAAATGTGTGCAAGGAAGGACCAATACTTACATATTCTGAACCAAGAAAATGCATACAAGCGCCAATATAATCAACCAATATATACCAAAACCCGAAATAATTAAATGTTTCAGGAATATAAGAGGCGAATATTTGCCTATCCCCTAACCAAATAAATGTTTACAGACTCGAATATAAGTGGCCAATATTTATCTATCCCATAACCAAATAAATGCTTAGAGAATCGAATATAAGTGGCCAGTATTTATCTATCCCATAACCAAATAAATGCTTACAGAATCGAATATAAGCAGCCAGTATTTATCCTTACCTAAACCAAATAAATGTTACAGACTTGAATATAAGCGGCCAATATTTACCTAGCCCTCACCAAATAAATGCTTACATACTCGAATATAAGCGATCAATATTTACTTATCCCTTTTCAGGTGAAAAACAGCACATGCAAGACCTATAATATTTAAGTGCAGAAGTAGTTTTGGGGGTTGGATCCGTTAATTGAATGACACATCAACTCCTATGAGGCTATGTAATGCCGAATGCGTTTTTTTTTAAAAGTTGTCTCTGTAAGTATTTACTTGGTTAGGGATAAGTAAATATTGATCGCATATATTCGAGTATGTAAGCATTTATTTGGTGAGGGCTAGGTAAATATTGGCCGCTTATATTCAAGTCTGTAAACATTTATTTGGTTAGGGATTAGATAAATACTGGCCGCTTATATTCGATTCTGTAAGCATTTATTTGGTTATGGGATAGATAAATATTGGCCACTTATATTCGAGTCTGTAAACCTTTATTTGGTTAGGGGATAGGCAAATATTTGCCTCTTATATTCCGGAGACATTTACTTATTTCGGGTTTTGGTATATATTGGTTGATTATATTTGCGTTAAGAACAACAAAGATGATGACATTAGTTCGAATGTCAATAATGTAAATAATGATAACGCCTTATTCCAGAAATTCATGCGGAAGGCGATCAGGTGATAGTAACAACAAAGATGAGGACAATAGTCTACATGTAAATAATGTAAATAATGATAAGTCCTCATCGCAGAAATTTAGTAAGAAATTTGAATTTGGTTTTCAAAAGAAGGAAAACGGTTTTTCTGTTACTTGTAATACTGTCAAGTTACACAAAGTTCGCTTGTCCTGAATCTAGTCCCAGGCAAAACAAGGGAGCATTGTAACTGTCAAGATCCCCTCAATTAACGCCTATCTGGGTCACTGAAAAAAGCACACTCCAATATTAAATTATTAACCAACCAATATGAGAAAAAAAGAGAAAAAATATTACGTAAAAATTAGAATTGAAGGAAAATTTACTCCCAAATAAAGAAGCCTAATTCACTTTCAATGTTGTTTTTAATATTGACTGAAAAAGATTTTATCAGAATGTTAGAAAAGATGTTTTACTTGTTATTTTGACATTATTATTCAAGGAGATCAAAGTGAACTTTTGTAAATTCGAAAATGTTTAGTTGTGTTTGAGTTCACTAAAAGATACATTAAAATAAGCTAGAAGAAAAACTAAGCATCAATTGTATTGTAAGAAAAGACAATGTATGATTGTCAGCAAAAGGAAGAGCCTAAGATGCTGACTGCGAATTGAAGATAACCAAAATCCAACAACTACGAAACTTTAAATATTTGAGAAGTGTTTTTAACAAAGAACAGAAAATAAGACACCGAATCTGAAGGCGCACTGGCATAGCAAAGATTTCCTAAATAATGAAACTATTTACTTCATACAAACTTCTTGATAGGAGAGCTTATTCGAGGGAGGGCACTTATCCGAGGAATAAGGCATCTGTAGATCAGGGGACGGATAGAAACTGTACTAATGTCTTCTACGGTAAATTTACTTTCATATTCATATAACATATCACCTTTCTTAACAAGACTTCTGTTCTTGCTTTCCTTAAAACGTCTTCGTTGTTCATATATTTCGTCCGTTGTATACTCAGCATCCAGAAGGATAGAACCCCATCTCTATCTTCTCTGCATCTGAGATGATATTGTTTAGCATTCACCGTCATATAGGAGGATCGATATTACATTTCTTTCTTTCTTTATTTCTTTCTTTCTTTCTTTCTTTCTTTCTTTCTTTCTTGTAAGTGTTCATTATTCCCGTCTTACTCTCTTTTCTCTTTCTTTTTGTAAGTGTTCCTTATTCCCATCTTTCTTTCTTTTTTCTTTCTTTGTTGAGAGTGTTCATTACCCTTTTCTTTCTTTCTTTCTTTCTTTCTTTCTTTCTTTCTTTGTTTCTTTCTTTGTTTCTTTCTTTGAAATATTAAAGGAACATAGCAACGACTTGTTATACGAACAATGTCATCCTGTAACAGTTCAGTGTAGATATATGCTCTCGAACGGTAATTGGTGTGGGGAGAGGAGCGATAATAAATGGCTGAATCCATGATACGCTATCAAGAGAATTTAAATGACGAAAGAAGAAGTCAGAATATGTAAAGTAGCTGATTCAAAAAAATTCTGGACTGTTTAGAAATTGTGAAAAATGACCAGAAACAGCAGCCGTCATAAAGCAACGATAGTTAAGAGAACATGCTTTTAAACGGTGAAGAGAACGAGAGAAAAAAGACACAAAAATATAACGACGTCAATGAAGAGCGTTGACCTGTCCGTTTCGGGGCCACAACCATAAACTTATATGCCATTATAGACTTTTAAAACATAAACTTATATCTGCCATTATAGACTTTTAAAACATCGTTATATAAATGCAAACAACTGTTGATTCACAGATTCGGCAAGTTAAAGTCAAACTTTAAAATTAAATACTAATTACTGAGTGAAGAACGAGACTTGTTGTTCCGCTTACTAATATCTCTTATCTTCAGTCGTCGTGTTTTGAAAACGAAACAAGGAACGCGCAATGCTATATGATTTCAAGGGTGTGCAGCTGGTGATGGTTTGTGGCTTGGGACGAGAAATCAGAGAGTCGACTTCGTTACATTCAAAACCGTATGTAGCCTTGGAAAAGCACACAACATACAATGAATGGGACAATGAATAGCGTGTTAATTTTAACGCCTCCAAAACGAAACTGCTCTCTTTTAATCGTCTGAGTGAACCACTATTGCTATGGCTGATGTTAACCTAAGGAAAAGATTATATTGAATCAATTGTTAGGTCTGCTACTAGACACCTTTTCTATCCAGAATCTATCTCACACTTTTATAAGTATACCATTTGTTCTTGCTTTGAATATTGCTGCCATATTTGGTCTGGTGCTCCTGCTTCATATTTAGAGATTCTTGATAAAATCCAAAGAGGAATCTGCAATATTATTATTGGTCCTGACCTCGTACCTTGGCTTCAGTCTCTTTCCTACCACCATATCATATCTTCATTGTGACATTTCTATAAATTTATTTGGTTATGGGATAGATAAATATTGGCCACTTATATTCGAGTCTGTAAACATTTATTTGGTTAGGGAATAGGCAAATATTCGCCTCTTATATTCCTGAGACATTTACTTATTTCGGGTTTTGGTATATATTGGTTGATTATATTTGCGTTAAGAACAACAAAGATGATGACATTAGTTCGAATGTCAATAATGTAAATAATGATAACGCCTTATTCCAGAAATTCATGCGGAAGGCGATCAGGTGATAGTAACAACAAAGATGAGGACAATAGTGGTAATTGTTCTGACGTAGTTTCCTCTAATATATCTAGACTTTATGAATTTAGGCGTATTACTAGATTGGTGGCATGGTTTTAATCAATTTATTTACATGTAACCGTAAGTTCTATGCTAACAGTTCTCGCTCTATCTCTCTTCTGGATTCTTGCTTCCCAGTCAAGTTTGATTTTCAAAAATTAAAAAGCAATGTCAATCTTCATCTTCTGTCTTCTTAATTCTTGTTCTTTTATTGTTTTATATGTTTTAGATGAAAACTGCAGGAACACGTTGAGTAGTGCCTTGTGTGTCTTAATATATGCGCAACTGAAACATCTATGATGGGATGACTCATAAGGAGTTAATATGCCGTTAAGCAAACCGAACCAAATGAAATCTATGATGGGGCACTTCTGAAGCATCCCCAACGAACGAAAATTGTTTCTTCATATCTCGTGTGGGCTATTTATTTCGTAATTTTTTTTTCACTTTTTGACCCATAGGATAGGAATTTATTTCAACTAAGGATTTCCATTTGATTTTTGAATCTTCTGAAGAGAACTCTGCGTGTGAAGCTAATAGTCTCTCTTTGGTCATAGATCTTTTACAATAATGTCCCCCTATACAAGGACTAAGAGTCACTCGAGGTAGAGAGTAAGAGACCAGAGGCACAGTTTATGAGCATAAGTGGAGAAGATAACGGTTAACTCAAGACTTGAACAGGTTAAATAGTAATCGGGAAGCTTCCTCTAGGGAATGAGAGTGGTTGGCTACAATGTGCGTGGCATGAAGGGTCTTAGCTGTGAAGGTTAGAAATAGTGGGATTAAGGAATGTAATTAGCCTGATATGTTATGCCGATTAAGCATTATCATCATAAATATGGATTTTATTTCAACTGGTTAAATAAAATCAGTTGAAATAAAATCCGTTTTTCTGATGACAATGTTTGATCATATCAAAATAATAGGTTTACAAATTGGCCTATATAATTACCATTCCGTCAGATTCTCATCCAAATATATACATATGTGTGTGTGTCTATGTTAGTGAGTGTGTACGTGTAAAGAATTAATGTGTTTTATTTATTAATCAAACACATTTTTATTACTTCAAACATTATTTTTTAGTGGATACCCGCATTTGAATAGATGTTCCTTTTTCTGTTGACAGTGTTTATTTCCTCTACAGGTCTGCGGACCCGAGAAAACTTAATAAAGGATTCGATAGATTCGACGGCGCTTTCACACGGAGGACACAAGTTCGGATCCTGCCGAAGGGTACATTTTTTTCATTAATTTTTCTCGAGTGTTTAAAAAATGAAGTGTTTCCTCAAATACGGATATCTATTAAAAATTACGTTCGTAGTAATAAAAACATATATA